AGCCTTAATTTAATTTTGATTATAATAATAAACTTCAAAGTATTGGTTTTTCAATTAAAAAAGACGATTATTCTATTTAAAAAGAATTTTAAAATTAATTTTTGGACGTTTCTTAACTTTAACTTAATTTTTCAGAAAAACAAATTTTTAATTTAAAAAAAGCAATGACGAATAAAATTTATTATTGTAAATAAAAAAATAAAAAACTTATATTATTTTATATTATATATTGCTTTTTTTATATATTTACTTTTAAGTGAAAAATAGAAATAATGCTGGTATACAAAACATTAATGGGCATAAGAAAAAAAACATTAGTTAATTAAAAAGTTAAAATGTATAAAAAAATGGATCTTTTTAAAATATTAATTAAAATAAGCATTTTAAACTATAATAAATTCATAAAACACTATTAGAATATTAAAATAAAGGTTTAAAATAATGAAAAAAGTAAATATTTATATATATATATATATATACTTTGTATTTAATTTTATATAATAATAATTATTAAATAAAATAATTAAAAATGTTATCATATAATTATAATAAAAAAATGATTTTAGAATTAAAAAAAAAAACGAATAAACAAAAATATATATATTAAAAACAAAATAATATATATAATAAATAACTTTTAAACAAAAATGTATATTTCCAATAAAATTTTAGTCCTCGTATTTTTTTCTGCTTTAACTTCTTCTATATCATTTAATCATTATAATAAACTATTAATATACTGCCATATAGATAAAAACACCAAATACATTATTAAAGACCGGAAAAATACCAAGTATTTTCCCCTGACAATATAAGTCGTTTTCAGATCAGAAAGTGTCTTTTGCTTGAAGCTCTAAATCTTGGCAAATCATAAAAATTGATTAGGCTATAAAATATTAATTTGAATATAATCTTATATACTGTTTATTTTTTAGTTTTTCTTATGTAAAAAAAAACATAATTAAATAATCAATAATATGCCTAAATTAGTCTTAATGGCATCTGAATATACTAAAAGTGAAAAACTAATATATGATTGCCTATTTTATGAAACTTTTAAAGTATATATACACAAGATGATATTATTAGAATGGAAATAGTAGGTACTTTAAAGAAAAAATTATATAGTCTAAGATGAAATTATTGTAGGAACTAGTTTCAGAATAAAGATTAATATAATTTTTATAATGAGAACCAAAAATAGAAATAGAAAGGTTTACCAGTAAATAAAAATAACTTATTTATTTGTATAGGATACTTAATATTAAATACGACAATTTAAATTAGCTATTTATGAATTATTGTATTATTGTATAGGAGACTTAATATTAATTACGACAATTTAAATTAGATATTTATGAATTAATTTATATAGTGTATTTAAGAGATTACATTAAAAAATAAATTTTTTTAATTTAAATTTTTATTTATATACAAATATATAAATATTACTTTTTATTAAAAATAGCTAAAATAAAAAAAATAAAACTAATTTTTTTTTTTAAAAAAAAAAAAAAAAAAATTATTAATTTTATTATTTAAATAATTAATTTTAAGTTATTATTTTATTTTAAAATAGTAAAAAATGGATGATGTAGATTGTTTAATTAATGAATTAACTGATTTATTGGATTAAAATGACTAAAAAGTGAACACAAATTAAAAATAAAAGCCCGAAGAGCATAAAATATAGGTAAATAAAAAGTATTTAAAATAAAAATAAATAAATATGGAGTTCTTATTATTTAATATTATTTTAAAATTTCTTTTTTTTAAAAAAAAATAAATAAAAAAAAATAAGATAATGTAAAAATGAATTATTAAGCAATTTAAATGCGAGTTATATTTTGGACGATTTTTAAAATAAGAAGAGAATATGTAATTAATTAAGGTATTAATATTTTTTTCCCTTAAAAAATATAAAACAATAAAAATAAATAAAGATGCTCAGCATGTGATATTAGAATAACTAAAATAAATAATGTTAAATGGTAAAATGATGTAGATTATTTATTTTTTAGAAATAATTTTTCTTAATAAGAAAAACTAAAATAAGTAAAAATATATAAATAAATATATATTTAATAAAAAAATGTATATATATATATATACATATATATATATATATATATATATATATATATATATATATATATTATTATAGAAATGTATTGAAGATAATACATACAGTGTTTATTGTTGTTAATGTAAATGGGTTTCAGTAAATAATACAGGAACTATTTAATAATATAATATGAAAACATGGCATTGTGCTGGTCATTATGATGAAATTTGATAAAAAAAAAATTGTCTTTTTTTTTTTATTGTTTTATTTAATGAATATATAAAATTTTATATTTTTTTTTTATTAAAAAAGACTTTATATATATATATATTTTTAATTTAATTAAAGAATCAATCTTTAAATAAATAATATAGTGTTATTATTATTTTTAAGAAAAAAAAACACTAAGTCTTTTTTACAAATAATAATATAATAAACATTTTTTTCCTAATTTTCTTAAAATTCTAAAAAATCCGTAATATTAAAACTACAGACTAACTTTATATTTAATAATCTACAAATAAGACTTATCATATATCTGAGAATATAAACCTAATTCTCTAATATTATTTAGATTTTTTAATTGTACAATCTGAATAATACATATCTTAAAGAATTATAATTAAACCCCCCCCCCCCCCCCTCACCAATAATTATAAATATAAAAAATACTCAAAAAATAAAGATTATACTAATTTATCTTCTAAATTTAACTGCGATTTTTCAAATTTCATCTAAACCTTCCCTCCCTCCATCTATTGTTTTTCATATACTTTTTTTTTACTATATAAAAAAAATAATTCCTCATATGTTATATTTAGTGTCTTTTTATATTCTTGTCTTATCAAATATGTAAAAACCACCGGTTTTTACGATAAAAAGGTCTGTTTGATTGAATTAAAGTCTTCAGTGATTTCCAAAAAGGCTTTAAAGGAAATTATTGTGTCAATTAAATTGATTTACTAGATTAAAATTTCACCAATATACATTTTTTTAATCCCAAAGTGCTTTTTTTTTCATCTTCTTCTATGATGATATAAATTCCCAGACTTAACCAAGAATACGAAAAAAAAAAAGAAGAAGAACACTTGCATAGTTATACCATTAAAAATATATATATATAAAAAAAAATCACTTTAAATGAAATGAAATTAAACACAAATATATGTAAAAAAATAAATTTGGAAATAATACTATAATATATACCGGGATTTCTTGGTTTAATATTATGCTTTTTAAATAATTTAATTAAATACATAAGTTTATTATAATAAAAAAAATTAAATATTCTTAATAAGAAAATTATTACAATAATAACATTTATTAATATAGAAAATTAATGTCTTAAAAAAACTGAACAAAATTCTTACAAAAAAAAAGCAATAAAAAAGCTCTATATGCATAATAGAATTCGAAAATTATAATTTTATTAAAATAACTATTTAAAAACATGTTTTTTTATTAAGAATGTGTATAGATTTTTTCGCATAAAAATAATATATATGTATAACCTTTAAGATAAATATTCAATATGTAATCCATTATATAGTTTTTATTTAAAAAAATATATTAAAATATGAAAAAATACTACTTTTTAAGCCTTAAATAATAGCTGAATATACAAATGAGGCTTTTCTAGCTTTTTTCTTATATTAAGGATTATTTTTTTTACTAAACATAATTATTAGCAATGTTAAAAAATAGAAAAATTTTAAAGAATCGACGATGATTTAAAATTTTAATATAAAAATAAAATATTAATTTATAGGAAAAAATAAAATTAAATAGTCATTTATTTTAAATATTTTTAATTTATATTAGTAATCCATATATGCATAGATAAGGCTTTAAAAGAACGCATTAATTATCATCTTTCATGGAAATTTTCACAATTATATACTGTTCATATTTTCTTAATTAAAAAATAGTATACTATATTAGATTATTCGGTAGATTTAGGTTGATATATAAGAATAATTAACTAATCTATTTAAAAATGTTAACAAAAAATGTAATCAAAATATAAATATAATTGTTTAAAAGGAAATTAACAGTTTATTATAATTTTTTTTATAATTAAAAATAAATAAATTAAAAATTATAAATATCAAATTATTAAATTTTATTTTATTTTTTTTATGAAAAATTTAAAATTTTTTGTTTATATTTTTTTATTATTATAATAATAAAAAAATTATTATTTTTTAAGTGGGAAATAAATTAATAAGAAAATATTTATAATATAATATAATTAAATTATTTTAATAAAATAATAATGAAATTTTTAATATAAATTTTTATTTTAGTAAAAATGATTTTTAAAAATAATATTGTATTTATTTAAATAGAAATAAAGATTATGTTTATATTAAAACAATATAATAATATTATTTGAAATAAAGAATTTAAAAATCATTTAATTTGAAATTTAAAATAGAATTAATTTAAAATTACATATTATTATTCCAATAAATATAATTTCATGAAAATTATTATAATGAATTCTATTTAATATATATAATAAGAAATAAAAATAAAATATGGATTTATAAAATTATATATATTCATAAATTTAAAAATATATATATATATATTTAAATATATACATTTAAATATATACATTTATATATATAAAAAAATATATATATATATATTCAAATATAACCATATTATAACTATTATAATAAAATTTTTTTTATGAATTTATATAATAAAAACTTTTTTATAAATTTTTTTTATTATAATATTTAAAAAATATATATTTAATATATTCTTTATAATAATAATAATATTTAGAATGATATAGAATAAAAAATTTTATCTTATTTACAATTTAAGAAAAAAAGAACATTTAAATAATATATATAGAAATTTTTATTATATAAATTATAATAATTATTATCCTTAAATTCGAAAAAACTATAATTCAATTTTCATAAAAAAGAATATTTAAATAAATTTTATTAAAAAAATATGAATAAATAATTATTTACTTTATTAACTGGTGCAATAGCAATTACATTACTCTACCATTTTAATGTATTCCAAATGATAGGCTAAATCTTTGGTTTTAACGGTGTAAAAGAACCTTAATACTCTTTGATATAAAAGACTCCTTATTAAATAAGAAAATACGAATCTTATGTAATAGCGAAAATAGCCATGAAAGAGGATAATAAAGACTAAGCTTTTAGGGCTTTAGCTAGATATATTGGTGTATTTGGAAAACCTGAAAATACTTAAAATCAATCACTTGTTATGACTGTTCCAGTATTATAAGAACCTGTAAAAATGGAAATGACTGCTCCTGTTATTTTCGAAAACGGATATATGTCATTTGTACTTCCTGAAAAATACAAATAAGTTGAATAGTCTCCTTAACCTTTAAATAAAGAGATTTCTTTAGAAAAAGTAGATGAAAAAAATATTGCTGTTCTATAGTTTTCTGGATATGGAAAAAATGAAGATTTTAATCAAAAACTTGAAGAATTAATTCAATTAATGAAAAAAGACAAACATATTAAAGAAAATGCTAAATAAGAAGATTTAAATGTTTAATTTGCAAGATATAATCCTCCTTTTTGTATTCCAATGTTTAGAAGAAATGAAGTTTGGATTAATATGGAAAAATGAAAAATATATTTAGATTTATATTTCATTGAATTATTTTTTATAAAACATATATATTTTTAAGAATTTTAATATAATTTAAGTTTTATTATAAATGATCTAATTATTAAATTATATATATTTTAAATTAATTAATAATAAATAAATAAAACACGATTGTTAAATTTATTAATTTTATAAATTAATAAATAAAAGATTTAATTTCAAAAATATAAGTAAAAAAAAAAAAAACATATGAAAAAACAAATTAAAATAAAAAGTAATAAATAAAGATAAAAAAATTATTAAAAATAAAAAAACATAGATAAAAATTAATAAAAAATATTAAAAAACAAATAAAAAAATTTAAAAATAAATAAATTATATAATTTTTATTAATTTATTTTAAAAAATAAAAATAATAAATATATTTATTATATAAATACATATATAAATTAAATATTAATTACAAAAAATTAGATATTATATAAATTAATATATATCTATATATTTAGTTTAATCATCATTTTTTTTTAATATAATTTTTATTTTTGATAAATATTTAAATTCAATTAATACTTATTATAAATATAATTTTAAATATTAATTAATTTTTACATATATGTTTTAAATTTTTTTTTAATTTTATAAAATGAATATATAAATATATCATATATTTTTTTTAAAAAAAATAATAATAATATTGACCATATTAAAAAATTTTAAGCTAGATAAATAAAATTAAGAATATTAATTTTTATATTAAAAAATGTATTTTTTAAATTATTCAAAACTATTCTAAAATAGATTAATTTTTACTATATAAAATGTATTAAGTAATTAATATAATATAAATCACAAATATTAAAATTAAAATTGTAATTAGAATAAATTCTAAATATAATTTAAAAAATAGAATAATAAAAAATTTTTGTATAAATATATATATATATATTTATAAATTTATATTTAATTTTTTATGACATTTCAATAATAAGAAGGTAATGAGTTCCTGCATGTAGGACAATCCATTTTTTATTAAATCCATTATTCAAAACAATATTAATGAAAATAATGTTTACAAGGTGTTTTAATAACATTTATTTTTTTAATTAGAATACTCTACTATTAATCATTTTATGAAAGTTAAAAATCACACAAACAAATAGCACAAACTTCCTTTTAAAATAATTCTTTTAATAATGTAAAAAAAAAAAAATATATATAAATATAATAAATATAAAATATTTATTTGTATTTCTTACATAAAATTCTTCATTATTATCATTTAAAGTATATTTATAATTATATCTATCAGGTTAACATATAGAAGGAACAAAGAATTTTGGACCCATTTTACTCTATAAATATAAAACCAATAATTAAAGCATAAATGATAAAACCCAAAAATTACAAAAACTAAAAGAATTTTTAATATTAATCACATTATAAGGGCATCCTTTTAAATAAAGCTATTTTATATAAAAATATAAATATTAAAATTAATGTAAATTAAAATAAGAATAAATTTAAAATAATAAATTAGATTAAATTAT